GGGGAGGGTAGGAGGGGGAATGCAGAGAGAGAATCCCAAGCCGGCTCCACGCTGTCAGCATGGAGCCTGACACAGGGCTCCAACTCACTAACCATGAGATCATGACCTGGAACAGAAATCAAGAGTCTGACGCTTAACCCACTGAGCCATCCAGGCGCCCCACCTGTTTTGTTTTTAAGTTAAAATTAAATTTGAAATTTTAATTGTTTAAGGTACCACCATTCTGTGGTATTTTGTTATGGAAACCCTAGCAAAATAAGACATGTTCCATTTTTATTTACTCGAAGTACCTTCCAAGAGGGTGCTTTCCGTCATTTACGATGAGCTTCAGTCTTTCTAATGGACTCTTTCACAACTCATATCAAAAGCCTTAAAATTTGACCCATTCTTTCAAACCAGTAATTATGCCTCTGGAAATTTATGCTAAGGAAATAATTGAGGATCTGTGTGAAGATTTAGCTACAAGTATTTCAATATTGCTCAAAGTAGGAAAAAAATTGCAAACTGCCTACTTTCTCTCAAATAGCTAATAAAATAAGGAAATAATTATTCCCTAGCTAAAAATATTATGAAGCAGTTAAATTGATATTATAGAGGAAAAATAATGACTTGTGTTTGGATATGAATCTAATACCACCATGGTGATGTGTGAAACATCACATTACTTATTTTACCAAATTAAGTCTCATTCTGAACCCCATACTTGACAGAATGGCATAAATGTCAACAAGTCAGGGGCACCTGGGTGGCTCAGTTGGTTGAGTGTCTGACTTCAGGTCATGATCTCACAGTTCATGAGTTCAAGCCCCGCATCTGGCTCACTGCTGTCAACACAAAGCCTGCTTAGGATCCTCTGTCCCCCTCTTTCTCTGCCCCTCCTCAGCTCACATTCTCTCTCAAAAATGAATAAACATTTTTAAAATGTCAAAATGTCAGGGCGCCTGGGTGGCTTAGTCAGTTAACTATGCAACTTCAGCTTAGGTCATGATCTCACAGCTCATGAGTTTGAGCCCTACATCGGGTTCTGTGCTGACAGCTTGAAGCCTGGAGGCTGCTTCTCATTCTGTATCTCCCTCTCTCTGCCCCTCGCATGCTCACGCTCTGTCTCTCTCTCTCTGACTCTCAAAAATAACTAAACATTAAAAAAAATGTCAAAATGTCATCATTGGGGCTCCTCTCACATTTTTCACTCAAAGGCATCTGCCTCTCTCTGCTTCCCCTCTTGGGCAATGTAAGACTAGTACTCTGAATAAATGCTTTTTGTTTAAAAAGTATATCAAAAAGCCACCACAAGAATTGGCGTTAAAAGGGACTGTCCTGTGGTGCCTAGCTGGCTCAGTTGGTAGAGCATATGACTCTTGATCTTAGGATTGTGAGTTCAAGCCCCATGCTGGGTGTAGAGATTACTTAAAAAAAAAAAAAAAAAAAAAAAAAAAAAAGTTAAAAGGGACTGTCCTGAAGCAAGAGAAAACACAGACCTATTTAATCTGTGGAGATATTAATTGTATCTTATTTCACTGCTTGTGTATTCCTTTTCCTTGGATGCAAAGTGTAGGCTTTTAGAAGGGAATTATATTAATTTCCTTCACATGGGAGGAGATGTCAAAGAACAAAGGCATGGTATAAAAAATAATAGCTTCCCAAGTTTAGGAGAAGTGACCAGACAAAAGGTATAAGCTTCCAGTTACAAGGTAAGTAAGTCCTGGGGATGTAATGTACTGCATGGTGACTGTAGTTAGCAATCATGTTTTCCATATTTCAAAGTTGGTAGGATAGTAGATCTTAAAAGTCCTCATCACAAGAAAAAAAAATGTAATTATGTATGGTGATGAATGCTAACTCAACTGTAAGCATTTTATAATATATACATATATCAGGTCATTATGTTGTATATCTAAAAATAATACAATATTATAGGTCCATGATATCTCTATTTTTAAAATTAAAAGTTTTTTTTAAAAGAAGTAACCAGAAGCTTCTGGCTTTTTATCCACTGGAGGAAATGGTGGCCCAGCAAGTATATAGCCCCACCAATCCACCCCACCCTGCGCGCGCGCGCGCGCACACACACACACACACACACACGCACACGCACACCAATGCAGGCTGGTCATGAATTATTTTGAAAGCAAGGTAAACTGCCTTGGTCGTGGGACCAAATCCATGTTCCTGACCCCAAATAAACCTGGAATTCTTATATGTAAAACTCCAGTAACAATAGATACTAAATTTCCAGCCAGATGTGTAGGAGGTTGTGGTGGATTATTAGAGGAAGAAGATGTTACAAACTTAATGTTTTGTGTCCCCCAAAATTCATATGTTGAAGCCGAATCCTCACTGTGCTTTGGGGGCGGTACTTTGGAAGGTAATTAGGACATGAGAGTGATCTCTCATGAATGGGATTTGTACCCTTACAAAAGAGACCCCAGAGAGCTTTCTAGTCTTCTATCCTATGAAGACACAATGAGGAGATGGCCAACTACAAAGGAGGAACCAGGCGTTTATCAGATACCAAATCTGCAAACACCTTCCTCTTACACTTCCCAGCCTCTAGAACTGTGAGAAAGAAATTTCTGTTGTTTATAAGCCACCCAGTCTCTGCACTGTTGTTATAACAGCCTGAATGGACTAGTTCAGAAGACTTAACAATTTCACATTTCTCAGAATATCTCTGCCCTAAAATACACATACCCAAATACAAACACATGCACAGACTCACACCAGAATATGAGCCTTCTAAAATAAAAGCATTTAGAACATTCCATTTTTATTTACTCACCATTTCACTTAATTCATTCAAGGGCTGGGTACTGGGGATAAAAGTCCCTGGTCTCCATGAGCTCAACAATCTTGGGAGAAGAAGTAGTACAAGAGAGGTTGCAAATACAGTGTGCTAGAACAGAAATGGGCAGAAATCCAGTCTGTAAATTCTTCTGAAAGAAGCTAAGTTCAGAAGTAGGTGTAAAAGACAGGCCTCCAAAAAGGTAATGGCATGCCAAGTACAGGAAATAGTATGTATATATACTGTGTTTGGAGTTGCACAAGTAAATCATCAAAATTGTGATGATGTATTAGCTTCCTATTGTTGCTGCAACCGATTACCACAAATTTAGTGGCTTAAAAACACAAATTCAGGGGTACCTGGGTGACTCAGTCAGTTAAGCATCAACTCTTGATTTCAGCTCAGGTTATGGTCTCAAAGTTTGTGAGATGGAGCCTTGCATCAAGCTGTGTGCTGACAGCGTGGAGCCTGCTTGGGATTCTCTCTCTCCCTCTCTTTCTGCCTCTCTCTCTCTGTTTCAAAAATAAATAAATAAACCTTTTTTAAAAAATAAAAATAAATTAAAAAATTGAAAAACAAATTCATTATCTTATAGTATGCAGGTCACAAATCAAACACAGCTCTCAGTAGGCCAAAATTAAGGTGTTGGCAGGACTGTGTACCTTTCCACAAGTTACAGGGTAGAATCTGATTACTTGTTTTTTCCAGCCTCTATAGGCAACCCATATTTCTTAGCTTTTGACCCCCTTCCATCTTCAAAGCCATCAACAGCCAGTTGAGTCTCACACTGAATCATTCTGACATGGACTCTTCTCTCTCTC